ATCATATCATAATAATGTACCATGAGATATCTACTTGGGGATTACGATTTCCTATGTTAATCATGTTAACAAAATGAAACCCTTTCAGATGATATACATCCATATGTCTGACTTGTCTGCTATGTCTTTCTCTCACTCGCTCTTTCTTTCTCTCTTTGTTTGTCTGCCTCTCTCTCTCTCTCTCTCATATATATATATATATATATATATGTGTGTGTGTGTGTGTGTGTGTATGTGTGTATGTGTGTGTGTGTGTGTGGATTTGATAGGCCGGTTAATAAAATTCAAAGAATAAAAAAAAACGATAAAAGTATTATCAATTGGACTGATGATATTTATTTTATATTACTAGGTATGTTGACTAAACCGAAGCACACACACACACACAAAAAAGATATTAAAGTCGGAATTTTCGGACACCCCTGTGTCCTTTTTCAATGAGATAAGAAATGAATAATGAAGTGAAAATCACTCTTCCGAGTAATTCTGGTGTTGTTTCTTTATTGTTGTTTTTTTCTACTGCTGGTTGTAAAAAAACAGTGCTCAGTGTAAAATAACAAAGCTAATTTTTGTACTACTAAGAAATATACATTAGTTCTTCACTGTTTGATACAACTTGAGGTTTCCTGTACGAGTGGTACCAAATGGTGAGTAACACTTATATATTTATTCTACTTTTGCTATCCCTCTTTAAATATCGCCGATCAGATCCTGAACTACCACCAATCATGAGGAATAGATGTTTCGTGTCTCTTGGGCCCCAAAATCAACCCAGATCTCAAATGGAACTCGTTCATACAATCGATCGCTACATATGCAGGAAAAATGGTTTGTCCCTTGATACCGCTCTAGCAGATACCCGACTCCTTGTGCGATAAAAGTGTCGCATCAGGCTTAAAACGAAGTAAAACTGTGACATTTGGGCAAGAGATACCCTGTCCTCAATTTTGGAATCTATCGGGACTAGAGTGCTCAGACGAACTACATTCCCCTAGTCCTAATCTTCACGCCTAGACGCCGCCATGCTTCGCGAACCAACCTCATTCTCGACGCATTCCATTGGTGAGATATAAATTCTACTCAAGCAGATTCTTTCCGTGGACGACTGCTCTGTGGAACCGTCTCCAAAGAGGATGGTTTCCCAATCACTACAATCTTAACCTGTTCAAATCTAGGCTTAACCTTTATCTTATCTCCACAATATCGGTATAAACTATGCCTATTACTCTGTAACCCTTCACCTCGAGTGCTTCCTCGGCCTTGTACAGGGTGAACTGCTCTCTCTCTCTCTCTCTCTCTCTCTCTCTATATATATATATATATATATATATATATATATATATATATATATATATATATATATAAATTATGTATTGCTGTACAATTTACATTACAATGAATCATTCATACAAAAAGTAGATAAGTAAAGTTAATGATATAAAATGGCGAAATTTTGTTTGTGAAGGAATTTCGCCATTTTATATCATTAACCAATTAAATGCCAATTTTTTTTTAATGCTCATTTTTGGCCAAGACAGGTGTCTTAGGAGTTTATTTATTCCATATGTTAAATGTCAGTAGTTGCCATTGTCGTTTATAGAAACTAGAACATCGAATATATATGTGTATAAAACATCAAAAAATAATATTAATTAGAAATAATTAAAAAAATACTTTTCAAAATAGTCATTATTTTTCTACTAGTGAAATGTAAAATTACATCAGAATGTGTCTTCTTACGGCTAATAATAAAAACCTTAAAGGTTAAGTGTTGTAAAATATACCTCTGCAAATGCAATGTATGTAAGCAATGTAAATACAAGGAATAACATGTAGTGAATTTAATTTTAGCAGATCCCCAAATGGGGCTCATGGCAGGAATGGGATAACTTTACTAATCTAATTTTTTGTATGCATGATTCATTGTAACATATATATATATATATATATATATATATATATATATATATATATATATATAAGGCAGGATGTGTGTGTGTGTGTAACGAATGCCCGACAGCAATTTTCGACGTATTTTCACCAAAATTTACATGCACATGCTCCAAGTTAGCGGGAAGGCCAAGACCGACTTTGCATTTCCCAACTCCCATCGATAGTGGAAATAATCGATTTTTTCATGCTTCTACGGCAGTTTCATGTAGTTTGCAGCCATTTTCTACTGGCTAGAGTGATAGCCTATAGCTGGCTTCCACGAATAGGCAGGAAGATTCTATTGTCCAGCGTGAGAGTCAACAGCTGACTGACACGAATGTTAACTAGCATGCAAAAAAATCGATAGCTGCATTTGTCACAAGTGGGAAAAATTTAAATCTGCATGGCACTTTACTCCAATTGGCTCATTCGCTTGCTTAAACTCAACGTTGATTCTAATTCCGCAGAACTGGGTTGGGTGTGAAAAGTGACTGTTGTTAACATTCTTTTTTTCATTCGGTTTTCCACCTACGAGTCCTTTTTAAAGCTGATCGTTTTGTGTTCATTTTATTTAGTTCTTTTTTCGTAACAGATTTAAAGATTAGTATAGAACTTGAGATAGGCAAGAGGTAAGGCATATAGCAACATCAGCACGGCAAAGGGCACTCCTTTAATGGCATGGAAGGGCAAAAATATTTTAAGTCAAGTGATAGCGATTGCTGCATGAGTCGTACTATTTTTAAATCAAGAACGGCGCCGGGTCATGCTGCTAGTATGTATATATATATATATATATATATATATATATATATATATATATATGTGTCATAAGTAATTTCTATTTTTGGGAACTGATTCTAATGAAAAATGCATCATCCTAACTAGTAATCAAACGTGGCAATTAAGAATCAATTTGTAGTACATTAAAATAACATAACATCAGTTTTAGTACGGAAGTGTATGAAAGAATTCATGCTTTTTTTTCTTCTCTATGACAATGAAAGGCTGCATATGTCAATATTTAGAGAGGAAAACTTTTGGAACTCGGTTGGTTGGTTCTTCTTTATCAGCTATATTCACTGTATTTCAAACGATTAATTACATTTTTCGATCGCATCAGAACTCTTTAAGGAAGAAAACTTTCTCTAATGAAAGCCAAAACCACGAATTTGTCGAAAAATGTCTCGCATCAAAACATGCGAAATTTTATCCCAAATTTATCAACAAGTCATGGTAGATAATGGCGAATATATAAAATCTACACGTGATTTATATTTTTAAAGAATAATAAAAAAACGAAATTATCTATGACTCAAACTAATATATATATATATATATATATATATATATATATATATATATATATATATAAATATATTAAAAAGAAGAAGAGAGGTGCCGCAAACGTTTTTTTTCTTGTAATGTGCTTTTTTTGAAAAAATATTATGCTTTATTTTCCAGAGATTGAGTGAATGAGAGAGAGATAGAGAAAGAGAGAGAGAGATGTTACGACTTTGACGTTTTGTGTAATAATTTCCTGTATCATAATTATATAAACCTTTGCTAAAAAAATAATGAAAACAGGTTTAATTCAGTTTATTTTTTTAAAATGTTACTAACACGAAATTTCTAAAATCGTATATAAGTATAGTAGTACTATGAATTTCTGGAAACTTCTAGACCTTTCTTGAAATTGTTTTTGTTTATTTTTAAGTTTGTATGTCATGCTATAGCTCTAAACTGTTAAATGTGTTGGAAATCTATAAGTAGTCTCCATTTACATCATTAGCATATTGAAGAATAAATTTCCTGAAATAATTTGATTTTTTACCTTTATATACCTGTGTATATGACAAAATCCATTTTTCAGTTTGTTTTTTTTAGAACTAAAACACATCTGTCTGTATGTGCACGCGCGTGTGTGTGTGTGTGTGCGTGTTTGTGTGTGTGTGTTTGAGTGAGCTTTCTTTTGAGGAAGTTAAATTTATAGAAAATACATAGGAATGTTCTTTTACGGTGGTGACAAAGAAACTGCACGTAAGGGCCGATAACTTTACGGATTCTTCTGATTTTATATCAAATACGTTACTATCGCCTGTATCTTCTGAGTTTATTTACTAATCGAAAATCTAGTAATAGAAATAAACATTATTAATAATAGAAATCGAAAATCTACTAATAGTAATAAATAATAAATACTATTGATAATAGAAATAATAAATAATGTTTACTAATAGGAAATCTACTAATAGAAAATATATAGGAATGTTATTTTACGATTGTGGCAAAGAAACTGATACCGTAATATCACGTAAGAGTCGATAACTTTACGGATTCTTCTTATTTTATAACGTGTTAATTAAATATGTTACTATGGCCTGCATCTTCTGAGTTTATTTACTAATCAAAATACATACACACGTTTCGTAATGAATTCTGACATTCCTGAAATAACGGACTCGATTAGTTTGAATTCTAGTTAAGTAAATAGTTTGGATCACGTATGAATCCATCTCTTCTTCCCCCTCCATTTATGGGTTGAATAGCAAGAGAGACTGGGTTCTATAGCCTTGGTTGGCAACCAGTCTACCGCAGAAAGAAATGGCATCTACTGCGGAAAAATTTCTGCCTAGTCAATCATGGATCGAAAGATCACCCAACGGCGCATCATGTATGGTACTTAACTGTTTGACTGAACGATATTTTACATAAGAATAGATATTATATAAAGAAAACCTCAGAAGACATATTGAAAATATACCCTAAGAACTTTACTAACATCGGATGTTAAAGATTTATCGTCTGTATTGTCTGGCCGTCATTTTTGCGTGGTCGGTTTTGTATTCCCACTTCGTTATTTAATAAGATTTTCTTTACAAGACAATGAAGGATTTTATTTGAGCTGTGTTAAGTGGATTTACTCTGACTGGCACGTCCGAGTTGCTCTTCCTCTACCGGAAAGTTAATATGGTTCTTGGTTGTAGTTTTGTTTTTAAAATGAGATGCTCAAAAGGTTACAAAAGGCTTGTTTACGACCTCGTCCAAAATAAAAATAAAAAAAAGAAAAATTAAAAAGAAAGAAAGAAAGTAAAAAATGAAAGAAAGACCAAAGAAAAAAGAAAGAAGGAAGATAAAAGAAAGAAAAAAGTAAAAGAAAGAAAAAAAAGGAAAGGGAGAAAAATAATAATAAAAAAGAAAGAACAAAGAAAAAAAAAAAGAAAGAAAGAAAGAAAAATAAAAGGAAAACTGAAAGAAAAAAGTATGGAAGAAAGAAAAAAGAAAGAAAGAAAAAAGAAAGAAAAGAAACGGAAGAAAAAAGAAAGAAAAAAGAAAGTAAAAAGAACGGAAGAATAAGAAAGAGAGAGAAAAAACAAAGAAAAACGAAAAAGAACAAAGAAAGAAAAAAGAAAAAGAACAGAAAAAAAGAAAGAAAAAAGAACGGAAAAAAAAGAAGGAAATGAAAAAGAACGGAAGAAAAAAGAAAAAAAGAAAAATGAACGGAAGAAAAAAGAAAGAAAAAGGAAGAAAGAAAAAATAAAGGAAAAAATAAAAAGAAACAAGGAAGAAAAAAGAAAGAAAAATGTGCTTTAGAAAAAGGCATAAAATGCAGAATAGAAAAATAGAGAAAATAGACAAAGAAAAAAAAAGAAATCATATACGAACAAAAATAACAATAAAATGAAACAACACCTTTGAAAAGATCGACTTCTTTAAATACTTGGGACCCATGTCCCTTTAATCGTATGACGTTGTTGATATTAACGACCTGCTTAAGAATATTATATATCTATGCAGATAATGCTACAATTTATGACACGTCCAAAAATCAAGGTGACCAGAACCTGGTAACAGATCTTTACCTCTGATCTAACCCTAATAGCTCAATGAGGTAAAAAAAAAATGGCTTATAACATTCAATACCGCCAAAACGAAGCTTCTAAAGTTTCATCATCGTCGAGGAGTACCTCCATTTTCTTGTCATAGTAAATGGTTGAACTCTGAATGAAGATCCTTTGGTTGACTGTCTGTTGCAACTCAAGCTCACCTCAGACCTAAATTAGAACTCATATATGTTCCGTCAAAAGTCGCTTCATTTACCGCTTCAAAAAGTTCCTGAGTTCTCCTGCCATGCTTATATCCAGCAGGAATGCCTCTGATCATTGCTGCTCATCCCAGGTCGCATCTGAACCCCAAAACAAAAAGAAAACATTATAAAAGCATAAAAAATATTTTAAAAAACTAAAATATACCAACAGTACATAATCATAGTAAAATTACCAACAATATTTATTTATAAAATATATTTAGTTGAAGGCATGAAATGGTGTTTAAAATATTTAGATTTCAGCATTAAAAAACCCATGGAGGTTTATATGCCGATAAATAATATCAAGCCTCCTGATATGATCTGTTTTTAAAAGAGTCATATCAGACCCAGACTTACGGCCATATCATATTGAAACACCTGTACGATCACCAAATTTAAGCATGGTCACTAGCTAGATGGTGGACCGCTTGAAATAACAGGTGCTGTTTAGCTTGGATTTGCGGGTGGTCCTTAAGGATAATGACCCAGAATTGTTAATCGGAGAGCCAAGTTTCAGTTCAGTTTGGATTCGTTATATTCGTTTACGTGGATATACCATTTCACTTCTCCCCCAGGTATGGGTTAATTATTAAGACTTTCTATCACTAAAGCATTATTATCTCTAAAAGAAAAAAAATATTTCAATCTAAAACTATTTTCTGGTTTTAAATAACCCGTAAACAGTCGATAAACCGTAAAAAACGAATCAATCAATCAAGATTAGACCAAAATAAAATATTGCTTCTACATCAGGGATGGAGCTGCCTCATCCTCTCTTTTCTAATTTTGACAGTTTTCAAAAGCATCTACGTGGCCATGTAGATGTGAACTGTTTTTTATTCATACTATAACACATTTCCCGCAGACAAAACATCTCAAGCCTCTCGATAATCTAACGTTATGTCTATAAAATATGTTCTGACGCACATTCTTATTTCCTGCTGTTCAGACCTTTATAGCTACGACACAGCATGTCAGGTATACAGAGTTAAATCATCTCATTTCTTACATATTCCATTAGTAAGGAGGAAGCTTCATTCGGACAGCATCTTTTTGAGAACCGCTACCTTGTGGAACGCTACGAATGGATGCTTCACCACCAAACACATCCTCTTTTAAGTCTAGGTTCTTTCTTTCCTATATAGCCTCTTCTTACCTCTTCCTCTTACGTTTATCCAATGTAATAAATCTTATTCGATAATCCTCTACTTTGAGTGGTTCTTGGGGTTTGAATAATTAAAATGAATCAATGAGACAAACCTGGCACAGCAGACGAGACAGTTGAGCCAACTTGTGAAATAAGGTGAATTGGAATTCGATCTACGTATATTGAGGTCAGATCTTATCGAAAATAGAATTGATTTTGGTTGAAAACGAAACAGGACTTTTTTTGGAGCAAAAGACTTACCCAAAGATGTAACAAGCAGTTCAAAGAAAACGGTGCATTCCAGATTATTTTTTTCTGCAAAATAGTTTCGTCCTGGGTATGACGACAGACTTCATCCGGCAGAAAGATTTCTGATTTGGAAGTTTTGAGGAGCGTAGAACCAGTTCTGTTGTTCCCGGGTCCACCATGGCCTGGAGTTGTAGCACTTCTTAGGGTCCCAGCTGTGGGCAATTATTGAAACCGCAAACTGATCAAAAACACTATGAAAGTGCAGAAATACATTTTTATAGTTCAGGTGAGAGCAATACATTTTTTTCGGAAAAAGAATTACCAGCAATATATTTTCGCAAGAAAAAAAAAATGCCAGCAATACATTTTTGTAAGGTAAAAAAAAAAAAAACTTCCAGAAATACAATTTTGTAAGGAAGAAACTATCACCATTAGATTTTTGTATGGAAAAAATTACCAGCAATAGATGTTTTTGGTAAAAGAACTTGCTAATAATCACAAGAAAATTGAATTTCACCATCTATAATTTTCAAAAATTAAATGACATATCAATTGCCATATTTTCTCTTTTTGAATCTTCTTTTATTTTCCTTTATCCTAACTAAATTTTCATTCAATTCAACTTCCAGTAACTTCTTGCGTCTTAATGGCATTCTCCCCTTGCTTGGGGGAGAAATGATTTAAAAAAAAAATATTTTTCAACGTTTAATGTCAGGCCAAGGTAACCATTTTTGAAGATACTAGCTACTGTTAGATACTCATTTGGTCGCGTTATTCCCCAAAATATGACAAAATAGTGACTGTGTGTCAATGAGTTTTGACTTTATAATGAACAGAAAATCCTTCAACGCCATTTCCAACTGCCTGGGCGTCGAAGACCAAAAGCTGCTGATCAGTCTCTCGGTTTGAAAACTGGTATTATTGACACTGCAGTTTGCCGGGAAAAGAAATTCTCCAAACATCCGCCCATCGAATAACGACTTAAGATCCCCTTCAGTTGGCGAAAAATAGGATTACCCTCCAGATTTATCCGGAAATTTCGACCAGCCTTTGAAGCAAAACACCGCACCGCTTATCTTTGAACGTTACAATAAATACAGAGATATTGGTAGAACCTGAAAAGTCGGAAGGAGAGTTAAAATTGGCAAGGAAAGGTAGCAAAAACTTCCAAGCAGACCGAGAATCTCAGTTATTTTGGAGACGATAGTTAAAGGCATGTACATTCCTCACAGAGTGAACCTGCGATCGAACTCCACCTCCTCCTCTTCTTCTACTCCTCCTTCTCCTCTTTTTCTTATCCTCCTCCTCTTCTTCTTCTTCTACTCCTCCTCCTTCTCTTCTTCTTCTACTCCTCCTCCTCCTCTTCTACTCCTCCTCCTCTTCTTCTTCTACTCCTCTTCTTCTTCTTCTACTCCTTTTCTTCTTATACTCCTCCCCTTCTTCTTCTTCTCCTACTCCTCCCCTTCTTCTTCTTCTACTCCTCCTCTCCCTCTACTCCTCCTCTTCTTCTTCTACTCCTCCCCTTCTTCTTCTTCAACTCCTCCTCCTTCTTCTTCTTCTTCTACTCCTCCTCCTTCTTCCCTCTTTATACTCCTCCCCCTTCTTCTTCTTCTTCTTCTTCTCCCCTCCTCCCTTCTCTTCTTCTTCTTCTCCTCCTCTTCTCCCCTTCTTCTTCCTCCTCTCCCTTCTTCTTCTCCTTCTCCTTCTCTTCTTCTTCTTCTGCTCCTTCTCTTCTTCTTCTCCTCCTCCTTCTTCTCCTCCTCCCCCCTTTTCTTCTTCTCTCCTCCCCTCCTTCTTCTTCTCCTCCCTTCTTCTTCTACTCCTCCCCTTCTTCTTCGTCTACTCCTCCTCCTCTTCCTCTACTCCTCTTCTTCTTCTTCTACTCCTCCTCTTCTTCTTCTTCTTCTACTACTCCTCCCCTTCTTCTTCTTCTACTCCTCCTCCTCTTCCTCTACTCCTCCTCCTTCTCTTCTTCTTCTTCTACTCCTCCTCCTTCTCTTCTTCTTCTACCCCTCCTCCTCCTCCTCTTCTTCTACTCCTCCTCCTTCTCCTCTTCTTCTTCTACTCCTCCTCCTCCTCCTCCTCAACCTCATCCTCTTCTTCTTCTACTCCTGCTCCTTCTCTTCTTCTTCTACTCCTCCTCCTCCTTGTTGTTGTTGCTGCTGAGGCCACTATTTATTGTTCTTTGTAAAATTTGTCTTTTTTCCTATCTCGGCTAAATCCTTTTATCTGCTGATTGGTGTTAAAGCATTCGTTCGTAGATTGTTCCACAAGGTAGCGGTTCTCAAAAAGATGCTGTCCGAATGAAGCTTACTCCTTACTAATAGAATATGCAAGAAATGAGATGATTTAACTGACATGGTCGTAGCTCTAAATGTCTGAACTGCAGGAACTAAGGATGCGCGCCAGAACATATTTGCAAAACTCACCTCTTGTCCTCTCTCCTTCATTATGGCCTCATAAATGTCAAATTTTCCAAACCCTTTTTCCTCGTTATGTGCCAAGAAAAATTTAACTGGCTTTTTCTGATATTAAGTTTCCTTTTTGTTTCAATTCTTCTCTAAGAATTCGTCGTTTCTCACACGTTCAGTCCTTGATATTCTCAGTCTCCCTGTGGTAGAACAATATTTCTATGGTTTAAGTCTTCTTCATCTACGAGTAGATTGTCCAACATTCAAAGTCAGATAAGAGGATCGATATGACCTAACAGTTCGGTACTATTTTCTTTGTTTCTAACAAAATTTTTAATTTTCTTCTTAATAGTTTGCTCAGCTTTTGGAAGTCATTTTTCTCTATCGGAATGCATCTTCGGATTTCGGTGTCACATTTTGCGTTCTGTGTTAATACGATTTTCAGATATTTAAATTGTTATACTTGCTTGATTTTGTAACTCCAATTTGAAACTTGTATATTGGGCTGTTCTTTTTTCTGAACTCTGCAGTCGAGCTATCTGGAAAAAATCGCTTATCAAAAAAAAGTTGCCATAAAAAACAGGAAGGCCACGTCACATCGGTGAGAAAGTGACTGAAGTCGAGATGTTTGTCAAGATAGATTATATTACACAACATTTTGAATTTTGTTAAGAATCTAAATCTGGAGGATGCTTTTACTTTTCGACAACTGGAGTGGATCTTAACGCGAGTCGTCATTCGATGGGCGGATATTTGGAGAATTTCTTTCCCCGGCAAACTTCAGTGTCAATAATACCGGTTTTCAAACCGTGAGACTGACCAGGAGCTTTTGGTCTTCGACACCCAGGCAGTTGGAAATGGCGTTGAAGGATTTTCTGTCTTTTTGTTTAGTTTTATTTCTTTTTCTTTCACCACCTTTTGTGGGAGTTTATTTAGTTTCCTTTCTGTCTCTGCAATCAAGACAGTATCATCTGCATGAATATGTTGTTAACATTGTGGCTGTCAACGGTGTTGAGCGGTCTCTGACTGCGCACACCTTCTGTCGAACTCTCTGCATTGGCAGAGAAGAACCCGGACGAGGCTTTGCCGAAGGGCAAGGTTTCGTCCAGGGAGGTAGACAGGGCCTGAACCCGTCTAATCGGCTTCAAAGGCTTTTTTTTTTGGCCGAGCCTACGGGCTCGGAGAAACCCACAATAAAACCGGCCTTGTGCCATATTCGTTTCTCGTGGGTGAAATGATAAATACCGAACATTGTGGCTGTCAATAATGAATCCTTGTAGGACTTCTAATTCTCTCATAATTACCTCAATGTATAGGGTAAAGAAAGTAAAAAAAACAACAGTGAGAGCGATTAGGTCTTCAATAACCCTGCCTATTTCTAATTGTGATCATTACAGCTACAATTACAACAATTATTTATGCACACGAATAGAACATTTTCTGCCTGCCATCAGCATGGGCAACACTTTACACCTTCTTGGGCTAACATCTTCCATTGACATGGAGATTGACTATACTGAATCATTTGCCACATCTGCTGCGAAGAAAGTTGATTCACTGTTTCGTGCCAGGATTTTTTTTTCTTGTCAGCATTCATTTTGCATATTTATAAATCTACCATCCGTTGATTACAGTTGCTATATCTGGTTTAGTTCTCCTTCTGTTAAAGATAGTTCACGCAGTGGATTGGTTGTTACAAACATCCAATCGGATGTGCGGAATATGTGGTCTGTCTTCGTCTAATTCTTTAAAAACGCCAGAGTAGCTGTTAGCGTTTGATTGTGAGGGGGAATCAGGGGTTGATCTCCCCTGATTGGGTCGATTTGGTGATGGGGGAGTATGATGCTGAAAGACCCGAAACTCCCTGATGAACCAAGTCAAAACATCACTGACGACCCCCACCCCCGGGCGCCTACTTAAAAGCGTATTTTTTAATTAATGTATAACTTGAGATTCTTGACAAAATTCACAATGTTATGTAATGTAATCTATCCTGACAAAACATTTCGACTTCAGTCATTTTCTCCCCGATGTAATGTGGCCTTCCTGTTTTTTATGGCTACTTTTTTTTTATAAGCTATTTTTCCTGGTACCTCGACTGCGTGAATTTAAACGAGCTACTATATTGGCAACTAGGTCTCACCGTTTTTATTGTTATACTAGCTAGATTCAGCAACAACTGATATTCTAACAGTTTATTTTCTCGCACTTCTCACCTGTGGAACACCATTCCGATTTCTTGCAACTGTACCATTCTTCAGAAATTTCCATGTAAGGCCAATCGCCATCTTTTATCTTCCTAAATTATCTTACTTCATTTTCTTTTCTTCACTTCTCACTAAAGTCTTCTCTTTCCTTTTTGGTCTCTGTTACCACCTACATCTTAGTGGCCTTATTGCCTTGCTTGAGGGTGATACGATTTTTAAAAAAATACGACAGCCAACACTTATTTCACATAAATATATTCCCCATATTGTGGCCCTCAGTCATTCCCGCCTTCTTACTCAATATTTCCTTTCGGACGCCTTTTCCTATCTCTTCTAGATCAACTGCTTTTGTTTCAAGCATCATTAAGAGATGGATGAACTCCGTTGAGAGCTTGAAAGAGAAGCACTCCCTTAAGAAAAACAATAAAAGAAAAGGAGTCAAAGTATATTGATATTGGAGACACGATATCATGGCATCTATTTGAGGTGTGGAGCGAGACACGTTGTCAGAATTTGGTCCAGGTGTGAGATAGCAAATAAAGTCTTTGACATTTCACCTCTGCGGGTCAACTGTGCATCTGAAGAATTCGAATAGTTTCTGCAGATGTCTTCACGATCAGAGACATATATTTATTCATTCTTTGCTCTATCGCGTTGTATATTTAACATTCCCGAGATATCGAAAGATTGTCCCAGGACGATACCATCAACATTAGCATGGGGACTAGTGAAGGTGTTATCCCGTAACAAGGAAGAAGAGGATAGGATTAGTAATTTCCGGCTTTACCAATATTAAACAGTGCTACAAATCTTCGCTGAGGTTTTGTAAACTGATTACAGACAGTAGCTTAAAAACTCGCTGTGTGGGATAGAGAATAAGAAGGAGGGGATGATGATGACGATGATGAGAAGAAGAAGAAGAAGAAGATGATGATGATGATGATGAAGAAGATGATGATGATTATGAAGAAGATGAAGAAGATGATTATGATGATTATGAAGAAGAAGAAGAAGATGATGATGATGATGATTATGAAGAAGAAGAAGAAGATGATGATGATTATGAAGAAGAAGATGATGATGATGATTATGAAGAAGAAGAAGATGAGGATGATTATGAAGAAGAAGAAGAAGAAGAAGATGATGATGATGATGAAGAAGAAGAAGAAGAAGATGATGATGATGATTATGAAGAAGAAGAAGAAGATGATGATGATTATTATTATGAAGAAGAAGAAGATGATGATGATGATGATTATGAAGAAGAAGATGATGATGATGATGATGATTATGAAGAAGAAGAAGAAGATGATGATGATGATGATTATGAAGAAGAAGAAGATGATGATGATTATGAAGAAGAAGAAGAAGATGATGATGATGATTATGAAGAAGAAGAAGAAGAAGAAGAAGATGATGATGATGATGATGATTATGAAGAAGAAGAAGAAGATGATGATGATGATTATGAAGAAGAAGAAGATGATGATGATGATTATGAAGAATAAGAAGAAGATGATGATGATGATTAAGAAGAAGAAGAAGAAGAAGAAGAAGAAGAAGAAGAAGAAGAATGCTCGCATAATCGCAGAGAAAATAATGCTGAAGACGCGTTGATAAATTCGGATTAGTCTAAGGTCTTCGATAGGATCGACCATCATTTCTCGGATGGATTCTAGATGCACATTAGATCCAGGATTGTCTTGGAGAAGTGAACGAGGTAGGATTGAAACATTTAATCTATTGAACAAGTTTGTTCTCTTTCACCCATGCTGTGCGCCAGTAATATTTTCCTTTTGATTTATTGATCTTTTTTACGGCTTATCAACCCTTTGCAGGCTATTTAGAGCCAGGAATTTTAATTTTTATTTTGAGACCTAAGGTATCTGTTTCGCATCTTAATTCTCCTCTCTTGACGACTGTCAGAACTTACCCTCCCGTACCGAAATACCTGAACGAGAGACACCTTAAACCCTTTAAGTTAAACCCTTTAAACACCTTAAACACCTTAAACAACTTAAACCCTTTTAAGTTGCTTGTTGTTTTGTTTTATGGCATATCAACCATAGTGAGTCATTTAATGCCAACAAAATTTTTTAAATAGATTCATAGCGATAGTTTGGTAAAAAAAGGTGTGTATATATACATATATATTGGAACCATTTTTCAATTACTCATATTTTTGCGTACAATCCAACTTCTTTTAGGAAATTTACAATCTTAGATTGTTTTATTTTCGTAAAAAGTTTTTTTTTTTAAATTACTTACTTGGTAATATTTTTTGCACCATTTTTTTATTCTGAGTTCCATTCTGCAAATTTCTTTTTATCAAAGAATGTATAGCTGTTTGTATTACTGGTATTTTTTAAGTATTACTGATAATAATTTTTCCTTCAAACATTATTGCTAGTAATAATTTTTTTATTGCAAAGTATTTCTGGTATTAAAAATTATTTTTACAAAGGTTTGGGTAATAACTGTTTGCCCATAGCTGGGACCCTGACAGGTGCTACCACCCCGGGTCATGGTAAACCTGGGAACCCCAGCAATTAAGAGGTGGTTCCACGCTCCTCAAAATCTCCTGATCAGAGGCCTTGCTGTTGCACGTAGTTTATCATATTACCCAGGACGCGGATATAGTTTATCGTCATACCCAGGACATGGATGTAGTTTATCGTCATACCCAGGACGGAAGCCATTTTAAGAATCATACGTCTCCTTCGCTGTGTCTATTGATTCGAATCGTTCTGAGGGCGATATGAAGATTCCGATTATCGCCATCCATAGGCATAGCATGCGAAAGTGAGTATAGTTTCTATACAATATCAGTGTACCTCATGAAAGTGATTAAACTTTTGATAAATATAATACATATAGATTAATTTATTTTACATCGTTCTTTCTGGCAAAACGTAATCAATTTCAAACATTTCAAAAGCTTTCGTCAGGGTTTGGCATATCGGTCTTCTTCAGAAGTTGAAAAAAGTTTATGGTATCTCTTGGTATTTTTGATCTAGTTTAGTCTTTCTTATAATATCGTGAAATGAAAGTCACCCTGAATCTTCTAGAACGTTTTATACTAATAAAGGTATACCCAAGCATTTGAACCTATTTTGTTCTTAATTTTCATCAGTACCATTTGTGATGGAATCAGTTCTCAATTTGGAATCTGTGCTGATGACACAATTATTTACTCCTGCCTCAATAGTGAGTCTGATCAGTTTTATAACGTCAAATTTGTAGCTGGTGTCAAATATGACCTACAGTTATGTTATAGTGGAATAGACCTATTCTATTGTTAATAGACTCTCCCACCTATAATAAATAGGGAGTAGTAACGAGTAGGTCGCTCAGTGGGTCGGTCAGTTCAGTGGCGTCTCGCGGTCTTTGACTGCGCACGCCTTCTGTCGAACTCTCTGCGTTAGCAGAGAGGAACCCGGACGAGGCTTTGCCGAAGGGCAAGGTTTCGTCCGGGGAGGTAGACAGGGCCTGAACCCGTATAATCGGCTTCAAAAGGCTATATTTTTGGCCGAGCCTACGGGCTCGGGGAAACCCACAATAAAACCGGCCTTGTGCCATATTCGTTTCCCGTGGGTGAAATGATAAATACTCAGTGGGTCGGTCAGTCAGTCGATGCCGGACGACCGTTAGTCGGATACTAAAGTATCAGCGACCACAACTAGATTACTCTGCGTAATACCTATTATATCAAGTCCCTAACGTTTTGTACGTCGAACCTATTTTAGGACCGACTTAGTACAAATACAAGCCTCCACTGTGAAATCACTCCATAACAAGTCAGTTGTCAACTGGGGCAAAAAAATGACATTTTAATTTTAACGCCTCCAAAAACGAAACTGCTGTCTATTGATCATCAGAGAGACATCTTTTTACTTTTCATCAATAGGACTGATGATAAACTCCTGGAGAAAGACTCGTAGCACCTTCTCGGGCCAACATTCTCACCTAACATGATTGCTAGGTCCGCTGCTAAGAAAGTTGGTAACACTTGTAACACTAACACAGCCAAACCCACCTGCCCTGCACAGCATAAAGCAGGGTACAAGTGGCCTTCATAGAATTTATCAAGGGGAACAAGATAATTGTCACTAGATTGTACAGGGTTGTAAAGTTATTAATATGACACCCTTTAGGTAGTATAGTCTCATATATCCCCAGGCACCAAAACATGATCAACAAATTCTCAGAGAAAGAAGATTCAACACTGAAAACTTTAGCCAATAGAACTGAATAGGCAATTATAAATTATATATTGTTATAATCCAGTTTATCCCTCTCTTAGTTAGCACAACCTTTACGCCTCATAAATAATAAACTCTTCCGCTTTCCGTAGCATCTCTCATCTGTCCTTGCCGTTAAAGGACATACGAGAGATGCTACGTGGTTTCAGTGAAAAAAAAAAAAAAGAAATACGAAAAGAAAGAAGAAAAGATAAAAGTATTTAACGTTTGTTTCAAGGAAATGGAAAAAGTCAATTACAAATCTTTTCATTTGTACCCCCTTACTTCTTAAAACAAGATTCATATTCAGGTGTGTTATTGCAATATTTCGTTAAAATTATTAAGGAAAGTTAATTCACTGTGTCGCGATAGACAATTAATCTCTCCAGAATCAATCTTATATATATATATATATATATATATATATATATATATATATATATATATATATATATATATATCATTCGTCCATGCTTTGAATATTGCTGTTACATATAGTCCGGTGATCCTGCTATAAAATTTAGAGATTCTTGAAAAAAATACAAAGAAGAATCTGCAATGTTATTGCTTCTGACCTGTTATTTCGGCTTCGGTCTCTTCCCCCCCCCCCGCCGCCGCCGTAAATTTACTTTGGTTTTTCTATAAATATTTTCATGGAACTGTTCAAATGAACTATTTGCTAGAGTGCATAGACATTTTTAGAAATTAAGCGCAGTACTCGATTGGCGGCAAGGTCTCATCAATTTACATTTGAGTTCGTTTGATATAACCGTAAATTCTACACTAACAGGTTCTTTTGGCATACTTCTCGCTAAGTGGAACTCTTCCGGCTCCATGCTTTTTCAGCCAACTTTGATCTTTCAAAATTTAAGTTCAATATCCACTATTATCTGCTGTCTTCCTGATTACTCATCTATTGTTCTTGCTCCTTAATAATGTTTCCGTTTTCTAATTCTTTCATTGCGGTAACACCTTGTTTCTTAGTGGCGTTCCTGCCTTGCATGAGGTGAAACGAACTTTTAAAATATGCCCTAATATGAACCATTCTTCTTATTAATATTACTTTTATTATTTGATGTCCTCTTGGACTGATTTGGTCGAGAGATGATGCTCCTACATGGAAACTTAAAGATACAAAATTTTCCTAGAATTTATGAGCTCTTCCAAGCAGTGATACCCACTGCGCATGCCCGATAATATTAGACATCACCACTACGTTCAGCGAGCCAACCACAAAAGGGACAACTTAAACTGCTGCTTTGTATATATTTCTCCAATTTTCCTTTCTAGGTCGAAGCACCTTAGTAATTTCGCCTGCTTCGCTTTTATAATGTTCTTAAGGTACCGCTACGTCTATCAGGATCAATTTGTGACTGCTCTTATGCACAGTCAAGATGATCGCATCCCATACGAAATCCACTTATCTGTTCTCGGCTACTGACTGTGGTGAATTCCTGTACTACTCTTCTCGTCGCTCGTGGCAATAATTCCTTCATTGTTCCCAATTGATTCTGAGGATTGCATTGTCATGGCGAGAATGCGCTGAAAGATTTTAGTAGCTTTCCTACACAACGTGCACTGTATTTATCAGAGCTCTCCACAGAGCGGAATACGGCACTAGGCCGGTTTAACATGGATCTTTCCGAACTCCTACGCTCGGGCTAAAATTCCTTGTAGATCCTGTATATACGCGGTCGGGTAGCTTTTTACCTACTAAGATGAGACTCTCCCTTTTAGCATAGCCTCGTCTGGGTTCCTCTCTGTCCGAAGTCAGAGGGTTCGACAAGCAGTGTATCTCAATCGCAGATACAACGTGCACATAAGTAAATCATCTGATCTCCCGTAATGCGCATTACGAGGCATGTGCGTAAGTCCCGTAGAATCGTTAAATGCCTAAGTTCGTCGAATGCCTTCGTTTGCCGTAGCCGGACGTGCGTCGTGCCTGGACAGTGGTCATGGGACCACTGGCCCGGAAGTAGTGCCTAAGTTCGTCGGTGGCCTTCGTTTACCGTAGCCGGACTCCCGTAATGTGCCTTAGAAGGTAAGTGCGTAAAGTGCGTAATTTTGTCGAAGGCCTTCGTTTGCCGTAGACGGACTCCCGTAATGCGCCTTAAGAGGCATGTGCGTAAGTCCCGTAGAATCGTTAAATGCCTAAGTTCGTCGAATGCCTTCGTTTGCCGTAGCCGGACGTGTGTCGTGCCTGGACAGTGGTCATGGGACCACTAGCCCGAAGTAGTGTCTAAGTTCGTCGGTGGCCTTCGTTTACCGTAGCCGGACTCTTTGTTCTTAGATACGGCTCTTGGTTACATAGTCCAGTTTCTTAGGGTTTTTTTTTGTCAAGAATCAGTTATTAAGCAATCTTCCGTATTTATTATTATTATTTTTATTTTATTTCCTTTGATTTCTGGTGTGTACGCATTTCTTTCCGGGTCCACTCAGAGACTCACGGTCAGAAATGGCATCAGGACATTTTCCACTGACCAATTAAAACACACACACACACACACACACACACACACACACACACACACACACACACCTTACATAGATAAATCCCTTCGTAAGGTGTGGGCTGTACACCTGAGAACAATTTTTTGTATTTCTTTAAGGTATAGACTGCCAGGAATCCCTTCAATGAGTCTACTGGAAACTTTTCAAACCACTAAGAGTGCTCCAACTACAACAAGGATTGGTGATGTTCCCATATGCCATATCTTTGAGATTTCAATTTCAAGGTCCTTGTATTTTGATAGCTTTTGGGAGATCTTCTAAGATACATTACAGTCTGCAGGGACTACCATATCAATAAAGAGGCAATTGTTTTATTTGTGGTCTCTAATAACAATGGGCGGTTGGCTTTGATTGTTCTGTCAGTGTGTATTGTGTAGTCCCATAAAATTGTTACATTGATAGGTCCTATCTCCGTAACCGATTAATATTATTATTATTATCATCAGCTGTTCGATTATGTTAGGAGGTGAGATTTATGGATGTCGGCATGTCAATCAGAACTGACGAACCCTTTACAGCTGATGTTGCTTGTTAGCAATTCAAGCTATTAACCATAGGAAAGACATGGGTCTTCACCACCTCTCACTAGTTTTGATTTGGACAAAAAGCTTTTTTTTGCTGTCATTTTACATCTGACAGATTCATTGATTTGTTCTTAACGGCTTATCGTCCCATTGTGGGCTATTTAAAGCCAAAACGTATTTTGAATTGTAATAATATTAGGTTGGTGCAAAAATAATGACGTAATAATGTCGTTTTTTGACGTTAAAAAATACGTCAAAAACGACATTATTACGTCATTATTTTTGCACCAACCTAATAATTCTTTATTTTTGCGAAAGAATACTACAATACTGCATTAAGGTTCTTTTTTAGAATAACACTGCTGTTTGCAGATCTATGTCTTACCATTTGTCTCATATCTGGGGTGGTGGTGGAGTGAGAAGGATTAGTACCTATCCGAAACATATTTGCGCTTACGTGAATGTCATGAACTCGACTGAAATTCGAACTCGCCTCTCCGATTTCTTAACCCGAGCCGCTGTTATTTCATTGCACCAACCGCACATCCAATTGAAAACGAAAACCGCGCGATGAAGACAATAATAATAATATTAAGAAACCAAAAGTATAATTAAATACTAGAATTAGTCTGTATACTATTTAATCCATAACTGGGGAGAAGAGATATATTCATACCTTCCCCAAGAGGATTTGTGAATGTAACCAACTCGAATAATAGATTTCCCATTCCGAGCCACCATCTATTAAACCATCTGCATTATCCCCTACTTGACAGAAAAGAATTACAAATCGAGTGAATCCCTTTCTATCTGCAAAAATGGAGTAACACTTTAAATCTGACAAAAAACAATATGGTTGAGTTGTTAATAATTGTTCATTCTTTCTTAATGTTCTCAGTTTTTCCTTCTTATTTTAAACCTCGTCTCTATCCAATTTTCGTTTTACTCATTCTTTCAGTAGCCCCAGGCTATAATTAGAGATTAAAATTACTATTTTAATCTATAATTTTCTCCCTTACTGAAGCATTATAACTATTTTAACCAGTAGTCAAAAGCTTCACCAATATGTTCTTGTCAAGATCGATTCGATTTCGCAATTTGCTATGGTATTTTGTCACATTTGCTTTTCCTTTTTTTTTTTTAATGATTAGAAATTTAGTCAAAAGGAAAGGCTGAAATTAACTAACGTCCTCAGGTGGTTTTGTAATCGCGGAACATTTTGAAATGAGAAAATCCTGTTCAGCTACAGGCAGACAATGAAATATGAAATTGTAGCAAGTGACTTCGAATTCACGTATCTATATCGCCACAAATATGGACGTAAACTGGCTTGAATAAGGATGAACATAAAACTTATATATGAATATTAATTAAAAGAGTAAAAAACAATACGAAAGAAATTAAATATATATATATATATATATATATATATATATATATATATATATATATATATATATATATACACATCTTTATATGTATTTTCATGAGGCTATTATTTCGTTTTTTTATTTGGTTTGGTAGTATCATAAGTATTAATTGTAGGACGTTAGAGTTATGATTACATTTTTATTTATTAGTGTTTGAATTTATGTGTATATGCCTGTATTTATACAATCATGCATACGCACCCGCGCACATTTATGCATACATGTATATAGGTGTATGCATATACACATATTTACAAATAAACGTGCGTACACAGGCATGTGTACACTTATGTCTGTACTTTTTTTTATTAAACTATTACTGTTTCATTATACGTGCTCAATGTTTCGTATTTTTATCATGTTTGCTTTCTTTCATTTTAATTATTTTTTTCTTATTTTCTATGTTGCTTTCGTTCATATTTGTTTTTTTTTATTTATTTATCTCAACTTTTTCTATTTTGTTTCGATTTGGTTTTTATTTTGTTTTTATTTCAAATCGATTTTTTTTAAGTTCTTTATTTTTTCTCTTTTTTTTTTCGTTTGTTTTCTTTTCTTTTTTTGTCTTTCTTCTGTTGTCTAGGACCTTTCTTCCCTATTCAAATTACTTCTTTTTTTTCTTCATATATCTTCATAATTTCCACACCCCTCCTTTTTCTACCTTTTTTGTTCGTCGGGCGTCTTCTTGTTTAAACTTATTCCTTATTATTTTTCATTCTTTTTCCTATCTTTTCTTTCCTTTTTTCATTTTCTTTTTCCTCGTTTCATCTTCTCTTTCTTCCTTTTCCTTTGCCTCTTCCGTTTCCATTTTTTCCTTCTCTTACCTCTTTCTTCATCTCCCCCCTATCTGCTTATTTCTTTATATGTATTCATTTCTTTTCTTTTTATTTCTTCTTTTTGTTCTTTCATTTTTTCCCTTTATTTTTCTTCATCTATTTTTTCCTTTTCGCATGTTCCCCTCTTCCACTCATTCTGTTTCTTATTCTATTTTATTTTATTTTTTTCTATTTCTTCTTTATCTTTTTCCCGCCTTTTTTCCTCTATTTTTAATTTTCTTTCGTTTCATTTTTAAATTTTCCTTTCACTTTTTACTATTATTTTTAAATTTAATTATCTTTTCGTTTTCTACTTTTTCTTTCTTCTTTTGTTATTAACTTTCATTCTTCCATTTTTTATTTCATTATTTCCTCATTTTCTCTTTCTTTTCCTATTTATACTCCTTTTCAATCTTATTTTATTTTATTATTTTTTATTTGTTTTCTTTAATATTTTTCAATTTCTAAAAATTAGCATCGAATTTTTTCTCGGATTTCATCTTTTTCTTTCGTTTTCATTCGCATCATTTTTCATACCCCTTTTAATTCATCATGACAATTTTTTCTTTTCATTCTGTCCCCCATATTTTAGTCTTCCTTTTAAATTCTCTCTCCTCTCGATTCAGTCTGTGTGTCTTTTATCAATCGTTCTTCTTTTCCCGCCGATTCTACTGTCTTTTTCTTTTTGGGCCATTCTTCATATTTCTCTTCTTCAACTCTCCAAATATTCTATTTCCTCCTATTGAAAAAACGGCAACTGTATTTTATGGGACTCGGCCTATTTGCTCACGATTTACAAATCAATTGTGGAAGAGTTTGCTAAACAATAGTCTCTTCAATTTCATTAGCACAATGGCTTTATTAGGAGACGGCTTGTCATAAATCTTTTATCATAACACCAACATAATGACGTTTTGCCTGAGCGTAAAAGAAAAAAAAATATGTGGTTCTACAGAATCATCAACGCAAACAAACAAACACACACACACATACACATATATAAATGCATAAATTATATATTATATTTCTTAAACTTGTTTATATATATATATATATATATATATATATATATATATATGTGTGTGTGTGTGTTTGAATTGATTTTAAGATATATATATATATATATATATATATATATATATATATATATATATATATATATATATATGAAGAAATATAATTTTATGTTGTGCTATATTTTGGGGGATAAAGTGCTCAATATCGGAGATAGAGCGTATGTAAATATAAATATAAAAGTGACGATTGCCTCTAGCATGAAAACAGCTTTTCGCCTCTGAGTGTTGACTTCAATGTTCACTTCATATATATATATATATATATATATATATATATATGTGTGTGTGTGTGTGTGTGTGTGTGTGTGTGTGTGTGTGTGTTTAGGCAGCAATCCTCTTTATACATGTTGCATTAAAACGACTGACAAAGTTTTATTTTTTACTTAATTTTCCCTGTATTCTCATAATTTTCTTTTTTTCTGGACATAAATTACGTAGAATTTGTCCAAATATTTTGTATGTCCGAGCGTTTTCGGCTATACTTTTAGCCATTATCATATTATTTAACTGAATGTATGGATTGTTTTATTATTTATTTAAAGTTATACGAAAACACCATCAGAACATTGTGGCCATGTTCATAGTTGATTTTATTGAGTGTTCGCATTTTCTTTCTTATGAATAATGTTTCCATTAACTTTAGTCTTTTTTACATGCGGATGAGCTTATTATATTTTATCGACCTGGGGAAGTTAACCCAGCGAGCAGTACATTTGGAAAGTTTCTTAAAACCATACCACAGCTCGACCCAAGACATGCGAGTGAAATTGGTTAGATGGAAATTTTGGGGAACCATCGGCTGTTTGTGCTAGTCACAAGTAATCAGTGTACTGGTGGCTTAGTTGAGGCTGTTGGTCACAACAGATAATGATCTCTCTCCCAGAAACTGTAACAAAGTTCTACTCAGTATAGTTGCAATATAAACTAAAGGTGGGTTCTGTGAATGTTGAACAAACACAAATGTACCTGAGGAGGCGTCTACAACAGAGATTGGTTAGCCGCCATATTTGAGCGGCATCCTTGTATACGAGTGAACAGACATTATGTATGTATGTATGTACACTACAGTTCAAAGTTCGAGGACCCCTTCAGAATTAGCTTAGGATGAACTTCATAGAAGAGTGAAAAAAAAGGAAAAACTCTTAGAGTCGTTGAAAAAAGAATGGGGTCAATTATCAAACTTAAACTCTGGGAAACTTTTGTAATGAATGCCAAAAATATGTGCTGCAGTAATCAAGGCTAAAGGAGGATATTAAGACGAGAGCAAAATTTAATAAAAAAATACTTTTCTTTTTGTACATAATAAAATTTCTAATATTCTCATTTTTTAGCCATGTATAATATTTTACTCTTATTTAAAGTACAAAACAATTACATTTGGGTCAATTTTAAAAAAATTACCCGGGGTAGCCTCAAACTTTTAAAATGTTGTTTATGTATGCACAAAGATTTTTTTATCCAACGGACAATATTCGTCTGTTTAATTTTGGATTGTGTATAAACAGTCTGAAATTTATATTTTGCTATATTTTTGTTCTTTTTACTGTCGGAGTCATTATCAAGAATCAAATAATTATATGTGAGATAATTCAAGGTATCAGGCGCCCTCAATTTCTTCCATGATGCTTCACACATGTTCAGTGTGGGGGACTTTTAGAGGTCGTGTTGGCTAGGAAAGTTGTTGAGAATAAACTTTTGTAGCAGGGGAAACAAACAGTGAAGGAAAACTCGTACTGCAAGCGAGAATCTCATAGCGCCAGGTCATCCTGGGTATAATGAAAAACTACATCCGCGTCCTGGGTAAGACTACTAAAAAATCTACGTCCGACAGCAAGGCCTATGAACAGGAGGTTTTGAGGAGCGTGGAACCACCTTTTTATTGATGGTGTTCCCAGGTCCACCCTGACCCGGGGTGGTAACACCTGTTAGGGTCCCAACTATGGGCAAATAGTTAACCCCCAAACTGGGGTCAAAACACTATTAAAGTGTAAAAGTAGGTTTTAATACCAGAAATACTTTGTAAAAAAATCATTACCAGCAATACATTTTTGAAAAACAAATATTACCAGCGAAGGAAAAATATTACCAGAAATAGATTTTTTTGAAGGAAATAATGTTACCAGAAATAGATTTTTGGAAAAAAATGTTACTAATAGTAAAAATAACCCATTGAGGTTGATATGCCGTAAAACAAACCAGACCAAACCATAGCGCCAGGAAAATGGACATAGTTGTGGCCCTCCTCAGTTGTACGTCGTCAATGCATACGACAAACACTTACATGAACGAAGATCAAGTTAGAGCATTCTATCGCCCAAGAGATCCGTTCAAGCGAAGACGCGCATGACCATTTTCAGGATTAAGAGGGGAGTCTAGGGAGAGATATGCGTGTCTCCAGCCCTAGAGACGTTTCGCAACGACTCGGGACCACATTTAATCTGATCTGTGAATACCGCGTATTCTGGCATTCATGCCCGTACATAGCTTCGATCTTCACGGGCTGCTCTCCTAAAATGGCTATCCAGAACCTCGTCTAGTTCTATACGAATCTTCATTACACCGTTATTACTAACAGCGAAGCTCCACCGATGTGTCACTTCTAACAAGTACAAAGATAATATGCGAATATAACGGAGACACACTTGTTGGATCCTTTGAAATGGTTTTAATTGAAAAAAAAATGCAGTTCCTCATTGCATGATCTCATACTATTTCACTATATATTTTTTTTTGTACTGATGACACAACAATTTACTCATGTCTTAAAGAGGTCTGATGAGGTCAAATGGGCAGCTGATCTGAAACAAATGGCTCACAATCTGTTTTTAACTGAAACAAGAAATGACCTTTGAGTTTTAATACCGCCAAAAGTAAACTGATCTCTTCTAATCACCTGAGAGAAACTAGTTTACCTTCTTTCAGCATAGCTGATGCTAACATCGTGGAGATTGACTCATTCCACTGACATGAAATGGAAAGATTACATTGAATCGATTACAATGCCTAATGCTATGAAAATTGGTTCAATGTGTCGTGCCAGATCTTTTCTCTCGCCAGAATCAATATTACACATTTATCAGTATACTATTCGTCTATGTGCTAAATATTTCTGTCACATCTGGTCTAGTGCTTCTGTTACGTATTCAGAGATCCTAGATGAAATACAAAGAATAATCTGCAATGTATTCTTTCCTCATCTGGCATCTCGGCGTCGCTCACTTTTCCACAGCTGTAGCGTAGTTTCCCTATGCCTTTTCCCATAAATACTTTCATGGTAATTGTTCGGATGAAAACTCATCTATGGTATGTAGACTTTATGGATCCAAGCGCAGTACTAGATTGGCGGCAAGGTCCCATCATTTTATAGTTGAAAAATCTAGATGTAACCGTAAGTTCTATGCTAACAGTTTCTTCACTCGCGCACCTCGCTTGTGTAACTCGATTCCAGACTCTTGCGTTCCTGTAAAAGTTGATCTTTACAAAATTAAATTCAGTATCAGTCATTATCTTTTATCATCTTAATTCCAGTTGTTTTATTTTACTATCTCTTTAATAATGCTTACATTTTCTAATATTCTCTCACACTCTGAAACCGCTTGCGTCTTAATGGCTTTATTGACTTGCTTCCGGTGAAATGACTGAAAAAAATATTAAAACTTATGTCAGCATGCCCCATGGTCTAAATCTCTGTCATATCACTTGGTATTTGGGGGTTGCTAGTTGGTAAAGAATAGTTCCAAAGAGGTTTTAGATTAGGAATTTGAAGTCAGAAAAGCTTGATTGGGAATAAATGATCAAGCTTTTCTGACTTCAAATTACTAATCTAAAACCTCTTCGTGAAGTTGAAATCTTGCGACCCGAGTAAAGTGGGTTCAGTGGAAGGAAACAGTGTCCTACTGGAACATGTTTGGTCAAAGCCTTGTTCCAGAGTTTCACTGACGTAGACTGGTGCATAAATCTACGAAAAGAAATACAATAAGACATACTTAGTTTTAATTCTTTTTTTTTCATGAAGTAAATCGAAAAATGCAAAACAAAATGAATCATTTTTTTGATTTAATTTATTTTTTTAATAAAGTAAATCGAAATTCATATTTTTATATGTGAATTTACTTTATTAAAAATGCAATTCTTTACGATTTACTTTATTAAAAATGCAATTCTTTACGATTTGCTTTATTAAAAATGCAATTCTTAACGATTTACTTTATTAAAAATGCAATTCTTTATGATTTACTTTATTAAGAATGCAATTTTGTACGATTTATTTTATTAAAAAATGCAATTCTTTACGATTTATTTCATTAAAAATGCAATTTTATACGATTTATTTTATTAAAAAATGCAATTCTTTACGATTTATTTTATTAAAAATGCAATTCTTAACGATTTACTTTATTAAAAATAATTAAAAACAAAAATCTGGTTTATATTTTACATAATGCCTTTTCAAATCCCTTATTCGAAGAATAATATTCACTAGTTAAGGTTTTAATCGTTAATAAATTAGTTTTATTCGATTATAAAAAATGTTTTTCTGATTTTTATTCGTCATCTCAATCCTGAGTCCTGCACCTGGTTTAGTAATACCCGGCACTGACACGGAAGAAGATTAAATTGAAAAATAAATATTTATTGTGTATAATAAATAATTCTTTCATTATTAATCT